AAAAAAAAAGAAAAGAAAATTATTCCTATCTCACAAACTTGGTGGGAAAGTCAAAGAAGAATATAGTAATAAATACTTCTTACGCTGTAGAATGCAACCTGGATTTTGGTTACTGTAAGCAACGACTCCACCAAATTTGCTGAAGCTGTTCTTTTGTTGTCCTTTGACTCCTTTCTGGGCATGGTCTGTGTGGAAGAGGGAGTCAGGGGACTTTCTCTGAGTTAAAATGAACAGTGGTTGACTCTGCCAATTTATTTCCTATACCAAGCTTTCTTTCCTTCTATCTATATGTCTACTTGTAAGGAATGATTTTTTTTTTCCTATAATACCATTTTTTAATGGAAGCTTCCAGACTTACTCAGATGGGAGACAGGGGAGGGAGGACAAAAGCCCACATTTCTTCAGCATTTCAATCAACAACCTCATTTTCTTCCAACAGTTGAAGTGAACTTCTTATGAATAATGGATGATAGCCTGATGAATATGCACACGGCCTATTATGCCTGTGAGGTTTGGTAAATAATTTATGAGCTAAAATGTTCCTTACCTTGTTACTGTACAAAAATTATGAAAAAAAATAAAGAACCAGACTTACCCTTTGAGCAGGTAGGGCAATCTGTCAGAGACAGTGACAGCAGCCATTACCATTTTATATTATTGCTAAAATTAAAGTAAATAGAATAAAATATATGCATTTCAGGGCAAGAGGTGGAGGTCTGTAAAAAAATGGAACAGGCACAATCATATTCCTTGTCACATATAAGTTGGCTTCTCACCTTAAGATATCCTTGTATTGTTAACTGCACTCAGGGAAAGTCTTCTCCGTGGCCCAGACTCCTCACAGGCCTTCCATAAGACCAGCCAAGACTGACAGCTGCTCCCTTGCTTTATGAAAACTGGCCCACAAGCCCTCAGAAATTCATTGCTGCCTTTTTTCTCCTCACAGCTGAGAGGTTTGCTTCGCTGACCAACCTTCGTCCCCTGCTATGTCATCCTTCAGCTCACTCCCACCTGCCCTGGCTTCGTTCCCTCAGCACCAGCAGAAGGGCCTTTCATCTGGTGGTTAGAGAGTGGGCAGGGTGGCCCAGCATGGTGGCTCACACTTGTAATCCTAGCACTCTGGGAAGCTGAGGCTAGTGGATTGCCTGAGCCACAGCGAGACCCGGTCTCTAAAGATAGCCAGGCATGGTGGTGGGCACCTGTAGTCCCAGTTATACTTGGGAGGCTGAGGCAAGAGAATCGCTTGAACTTAAGAGTTAGAGGCTGCAATGAGCTATAAAGCCATGGTACACTACTGAGGGTGACAAAGTTAGACTCTGTCTCAAAAAAAAAAAAAAATGGGTGGGGGCAGGGCCAGGTTGGCTATGTGGGTAAGGAAGGTGTATGCAACAATATGAATGGATCCTGATAAAATGTGGTTGATCCATCACAAGTTTTTGAAGACCTAGAAGTGGGTCAATTCCCAAGCCAGGGAAGATGGGACCCCAGGGATTATCTGCTTAGATTCCAGAAGCATTCTAGGTACATTTTGGAGGAAGATTTTTTTTTCTCCTTTGAGACCGGATCTCACTATATTGCCCAGGCTGGTCTTGAACTCCTCAGCTCAAAGGATCCTCTTGTCTCAGGCTTCTGAGTAGGTGGGATTACAGGTGAGTGTCACTGATCCTGGCTTTCAAGGAACACTTTTATTGTCAGCAGAGCGTCCCTTATATGCTGGGTGCTTGGAGGAGATCAGATGAAAAACGAAACATGGGCACTGTCATTCATTCATCAACATGGACACTGTCACTATATCCATCCTCCAAACACAGAGAGAATGGCCTATAAATTACAGAGTGAAGTTATTGGAACAATGATGTAATTAAAATGATAATATTAATTAGAACAATAGGTATTACAAGAAGCCTTATCTGAGGGAGGAGGTAAATCTTGAATTGAGTTTACAGAGCAAGAAGGAAGCCAACTAATTAGAAAGATTAGATGTAGGTACAGCCATGCCTGCCTAATTGGGGCTCTGCCTACCTTTCCGACCTCATTTTGCACAATTCTCCCCAGTCTTTTGCTGGGCCGCAGTCTGCTATAGACCAAATGTTTATGTCCCAGCCCAAATCCATATATTGAAATCCTAACCTCCAGGGTGATGGTAGAAGAAGAGGCCTTCAGAGGGCTCTTCCTTCATGAATGGGATTAGGGCCCTTATGAAAGGGACCCCGGAGAGCTTCTAGTCCCCCAGAGGATAGCTGTCTATGAAGTAGAAAGTAGGCCCCTGCAAGACACCAAATCAGCCAGCATCTTTTTTTTTTTTTTTTTTTTAAGACAGCCTCAAGCTATCCCCCTGGGTAGAGTGTTGTGGCTTCACAGCTCACAGCAACCTCCAACTCCTGGACTCAAGCGAGTCTCCTGCCCCAGCCTCCCAAGTAGCTGGGACTACAGGCACCCGCCACAACACCCGGCTATTTTTTGATTGCAGCCGTCGTTGTTTGGTGGGTCCGGGCTGAATTCGAACCCGCCACCTTAGGTGTATGTGGCTGGCACCTTAGCCACTTGAGCCACAGGTGCTGAGCCCAGCCAGCATCTTGATCTTGGACTTCTTAGCCTCTAGGACTGAGAAATAAATTTCTGTTGTTTATTTTTTAAAACCTTTTTTTTTTTTGTAATGGAACACTTCAGGAATTTGGATGTCATCCTTGTTCAGGGGCTGTGCTAATCTTCTCTGTAGCATTCCAGTTTTAGTATATGTGTTACTGAAGCGAGCACAATTTCTGTTATTTGTAAGTAAAATACCAGTCTGTGATATTTTATTAAAGCAGCCCAAATAGATTGAGATACAACCACACTAATACACTTACGATTTTTTTTTTTTTTAGAGTCTTGCTCTGTGGCCAGAGCTAGAGTATAGTAGTATCATCATAGCTCACTGGCCTCAAAGTCCTGGACTCAAGGGATGCTCCTGCCTCAGCCTCCCAGAGTGCTAGGATTACAGGCATAAGCCACTGCACCTTGACAACTTCCAATTCCTTTTCTTTTGTTTGTTTTTTTTGGTGAGACAGTCTTACTTTGTCACCCTCAGTAGAGTGCTATGGCATCACAGCTCATAGCAACCTCCAACTCTTGGGCTTAAGTGATTCTCTTGCCTCAGCCTCCTGAGTAGCTGAGACTATAGGTGCCCACCACAATGCCTGGCTTTTTTGTTGCAGTTGTCACTGCTGTTTTAGCTGGCTGGGGCTGGGTTCAAACCCGCCACCCTCAGTATATGGAGCCAGCACCCTACCCACTGAGCCACAGGCGCTACCTTTCTTTCTTTCTTTCTTTTTTAAGACAGGGCCTCACTCTATTTCCCAGGTTAGAGTGCTGTGGCATCAACTTATCTCACAGAAAACTCAAACTCCTGGGTCTAAAGATCTTCCTGCCTCAGCCTCCCAAGTAGCTAGGACTACGGACTCCTGCACAATGCCTGGCTAGTTTTTCTAATTTTTAGGAGACATGGCTCAGGCTGTCTTGTTCAGGCTGGTGTCCAACTCCTGAGTTCAAATAATCCACCCACCTCAGCCTCCCAGAGTGCTAGGATTACAGGGGTGAGCCACTGTACCCAGCTTCCAATTTCTTGAATCCCAAGATCTTTATACTTCATCACCCCCGCCTGTGCTCTTCCTTATGCCTCCCTTTTATCCCATCTTTCAGAGAGGTCTTCCCTGCCTTCAGTGTCACACTCTCTCAAAGCATCTTGTTTTCTTAGTCACCATGTGTAGTGATATATTTATGTGTTTATTTTTTGTTTAATGTCTATCCAGTAGCCTATACATTCCAAGAGAGCAGTATGTTTTGTTTTCTACTAGGTATTTAGCACCCAGTCCTGTTCTGGCACATGGTAATAACTCCACTAGAAGCTGCACAGTTGACCTCTTCCCTACAGTGGTTACCTCCTTAAGTTGACCTAAGTTTCATAGACTGGACATGCACCATGTGTACATATCAGTACAGCAGACCTAGTTCCTTATGTTGACCACCTTCTGTATGTGGACCAGCTTGTTGCAATTCCTTGGGTGGTCCACTTACAGAGGTTCTGCTGTATATCTTGAAGGTTCAGAAATCATGGGAAGTGGGAGTGAAAGAAAAAAAGAAACTGGGCTCGGCGCCTGTGGCTCAAGTGGCTAAGGCGCCAGCCACATACACCTAAGGTGGCGGGTTCGAATCCCCAGCCCGGGCCCGCCAAACAACAATGATGGCTGCAACCAAAAAATGGCCGGGCGCTGTGGCGGGAGCCTGTGGTCCCAGCTACTTGGGAGGCAGAGGCAGGAGACTCGCTTGAGCCCAGGAGTTGGAGGTTGCTGTGAGCGTGATGCCATGGCACTCTACCCAGGGGGATAGCTTGAGGCTCCGTCTCAAAAAAAAAAAAAGAAAAAAAGAAACTGTGCTGGGCTGAGAATCCTATTGAAGAGTTTTATTTAGGATGGGTAGCAGGAGGAAGCTACTAGTAGTAATTTCTTACCCACCCGCGGACATATTTATATTGTGGGTTTTCTTTTTTTTTGAGACAGAGTCTCAAGCTATCACCCTCTGTAGAGCGCTGTGGCATTGCAGCTCACAGCAACCTCCAACTCTTGGGCTTAAGCGATTCTCTTGCCTCAGCCTCCTGATTAGCTGGGACTACAGGCACCCACCACAATGCTCAGCCATTTTTTGGTTGCAGTTGCCACTGCTGTTTTTTAGCTGGCCAGGGCTGGGTTCGAACCCACCACCCACAGTATATGGTGACAGCACCCTATCCACTGAGCCAAAGGCACCACCCTATATTGTGGGGGGTTTAATTATAAAAGTAATATGTATTTATTGCAAAAAGACTGCCAATACCAACCAAGTATTGGTGAGGATACAGAATAATAACTAGAACCCCCACGCACTGCTGATACTGGAGCCCTCATAAGTTAAGTTACTGGTAAGGGTGTAAATTGGTTCAAAAGCTTTGGAAAACTACATAACAGTACCTGTAAAAGCTAAAGATATGCCCCAAGCCTAGCAATTCCGCTCCTCAGTATTTACCCAGGCAAAACAAGTGCAAATGTTAAGTTCACTGAAAGACTTCTATAAGATTGTTCACAGCAGTTTTATTCCTGAGAGCCAAAGATAGAAGAAAAACAAAACAAGAAAACAAAATCATATGCAAACATTTCTTAAAAATGAGCCCCAAACAGGAAAAAATCCAAATGGATGCCAACAGCAGAATGGATAAACTGTGGTTAATTATGCACCGAAATACTACACAGCAACACAAAACAATGCTGCTGCACTCAACAATACAGATGAATCTCAAAAATGAGTTGAGTGATAGGAACCAAACCCCCAAAATTACAGTGTCTGAGTCCATTTACATGAAGCTCAAGAACCAGCAAAACTAATATGTGGAGACAGAAATCAGAACACGGCTGCTTTGGGAGTTTATGGACTGAGTAGGAGCATAGGGAATCTTCTTGGATGTTGGAAAGACTCTGCTATCTTGTTTCATGACTACATGTGTATATATATGTAAAAATGTGTCACTTAAGATTTTTGTGCCTTACTGTATGCATGTTTTACCCCAATAAAAAATTAAAGAAACAAAAGGTAATATATGTTCATCAACTATTTAAGGACCACAGGGCAGCACCTGTGGCTCAAAGGAGTAGGGTGCCTGTTCCATATGCCAGAGGTGGTGGGTTCAAACCCAGCCCTGGCCAAAAACTGCAAAAAAACAAAAACAAAAACGTATATACAAGTAAGTTAAAGGTTTCCTTTTCTATGGAAAATCATGATTAACATTTTGATGTATGTCTTCCTGAACTCCTCTGATAACGTCGTATGTCTTTCTTCAAATTATCCCTCTGTGTAAACTGGAATAAAGCAGGCTTGGCGCCTGTGGCTCAAGTGGCTAAGGTGGCCAGCCACATACACCTAAGGTGACGGGTTCGAATCCAGCCCGGGCCCACCAAACAGCAATGACGGCTGCAACCAAAAACTAGCTGGGCGATGTGGTGGATGCTTGTGGTCCCAGCTACTTGGGAGGCTAAGGGAGGAGACTCGCTTAAGCCCAGGAGTTGGAGGTTGCTGTGAGCTCTGATGCCACGGCACTCTATCCATGGTGACAGTTTGAGGCTTTGTCTCAAAAAAAATAAAGAAATAAATAAAATAGAACCAGTAATTAAAAAAAAACTATCCTTCATCTCTGTCATCCAAAGCCTTTGATCTATCTATATGTAGCACCACCCAAGCCACATACACTTAAAAGTTTCTGCCTTCAGGTGACAAAGTTCAATAGCAATACTGAGCTCTTTCTTCACACAAAGAGCAGTGGGGAATACAGAAATGAGTAAGTCACAAGTGATACTCTCAAAGAATTTACAGTCCAGGAGGAAGAGACCACAGGGATACAGACCAAACAAAATCCCCAAGAACTATAATACCATGCTATGTGGTAGAGTTTCACAGGACCATCAAAATGGGTTCTAACTATTGTACAGGTAATGACACCTCACATTGTATAGAGCAGTGGTTCTCAATCTTCCTAATGCCATGGCCCACAGATTCAGAACTGCTGGTATAGAGCTTACAGTTTTCAGTTTTTTCACATAAAGGCTCACTTAGTCATAAATATTACCCTTCTTTTATTATTATTATTGAGACAGAGTCTCCCTCTATCACCTGGGCTAGAGTCCCATGGCTTCAGCCTAGTTTACAACAACCTCAAACTCCTAGGCTTGAGCTATCCTCCTACTTCAGCCTCCTGGGTAGCTGGGACTCATTTTTCTATTTTTAGTAGAGATGGGGTCTCCCTCTTGCTCAGGGTGGTCTCCAACTCCTGAGCTCAAGTTATCCTGCCTCCGCCTCTCAGAGTGCTAGAATTACAAGCATGAGCTAACAATAGGCTCATTTTATAAGTAATGAAGTTGAATTACTTGCCTGGACTGCTAGTGGAATAGTTGGGACTAAAACCTAGTACTCTTACTCCAAATCCATTGGTTACTCATAAATCTGACACTAGCACTTACTCTTCACTTCCAGATGAAATAAGCAAATTGATACAACCTGATCTCTGTTGGCCAGGCCTCCAGAAAACCTTCTGTGCTCGGAGGATCTGGGTGTGGGCAAGCTCCAAGAAACGTTCTGGAAGTGTGTAGTGAAGGGCTGGAGCCACTTGGTGTCGCTCCCTCTGCCCCCCTCCCATGCAGTGTCCTTCCACCACGAGCCTTAAGGAACAGTCTAGGGTAGGGCCAGGGCTCCACGTCCATTCTCCTCACACTATCTCATCTACCTCTGCCATCACAAGCCCACAGAAGTGGGCGTGGGAGGGACAGCCTTGGCCGACGGCAGGCTGCCTCAAGGTTGGGCTCCGCCTTCACCGGGTTTGCAGAGCCTCCCTGTCCCCTGTTCGTCCCACATCATTCCCACTCTTCTTTGGTACCTCTAACACTTGTCCACTACTTCTCCAATCTACTTTCCCTCAGCCCCCAAATCCCTTTCTTATTCTCTTTCTATATTCAAAATCTGCTAGATAAACAAAATCCTCCCCACTGCCACCAAAATAGGATGTTGTTTGTCCTCAATTCCACTGAACTTTGTCTTTTCACATTTTCTTGTCTACTTGGACAAGAAGGCCGGAAGCCGCCTTTGGAGGACACAGTCCACAGCTGCTACTGGGGTGAGGGTATGGGGTGTAAGGACACAGGTCCCTGAGCAGGTTTAGGCTCGACGCCGGCCGAGTGTTGTCTGAGTCCCTCCCCCTTTCTGGGGCTGGGGCATAGACAAGAACTTGATTTTCACCGTTGAAGGCAGTTGACTACCTAGAGAGGCAAGTCGGCGGCTAGGAGTCGCAGCCGTCAGCGCCTCAACCCTCGGCTGAAGGGGAGGTGGTATAGGGTCCCCGACACGGACTCAGGAGCTCCTGTTCCCACTCTCACACCTTCCAAAAATGAAACGACCTCGGCTGTACCTTGAAAGGGGCTAAGTAACCAGCTCCATCGACCCTCCCATCCCTGTCCAAGCCGAGCTCCTCTGGGGCCTTCGGCTTGGCCAGGACCTGAGGGTCCCCTCCCCACCCCCACCTCTCCCTGCGGGCTCCCCGATGCCCTCCCTTCCCTGACCGCCCGCCCAGCCCGCCGCCCCCGGCGGCTGGCGCGGGCGGTGCAGCATGCGGCAAAGCTCTTTGCATAAATTATGCTCATGACGCAGCAGCTAAAAAAATCCAAGTAGCAGAAGGAGGGAAAAAAGGGGGGGAGAGATAAGGGGGGGTCGTGGAAGGGGGGAGAGGAGAAAAATATATATACCTGACCGCCCCCCCCCAAGCCTCCCCTTCCCGCTCTCCGGCCGGCCCCCTCCGCCCAGCGCAGCCCACGGAGCCCCCTTCAGCTCTGCCCAGCCCAGGCTGGGGGCCCGGGGGTGGCGGCGGGTCCCGACCGGCTCCCGGGCCGAGCCGAGCCCAGCCAAGCCGCACTGGCTTCTTTGTCTGCGGGAGGCGGCCGCCCTGGTCCCGGCCCCGGCCCCCTGGCCCGGGCTGTGAGATGAATCTCTAATCGGTGGCAGCCGGGCACCCGGGGCGAAGGCGGCACGGGCTCGGGCTCGGGCTCCGGTAAGTAGCGGGGTCCGGGGCGGGGAGGGGTTTGCACGGAGGGGGAGGGGGCCGGGCAGAGGAGGTTTCGGGTTTGGTTAATATGCAATGCCCGTAATTAGCATAATTTATATATTTATGATAAAGAGAAAAAAAGCCGCGGGGCCGGGGCGGCGGGATGCCGGGCCGGGCCGGGCCGGCGGGGAGCCCCGGGAGAGGGACAGCGCGCGGCTGCCCTCCTGGGGCGGGAGACCCGGGCCGCGCCCTCGCTTGCCGCGGCCGGTCTAGACCGGGAGGGGAGGGGTCGGCCGCCAGGTGGACCCTGCAGGGAACCTGGCCCGGGCCCTGGCCCCTCCCCGTTTCTGTTCCTGGAGCCCAGGTGGGGTACGGGCCACAGAGGACGCTCTGTACAGACCTAGTGGCGACTTAGGCGCGGATTATCGCCCCACAGGAGAACCCGGACTCCTGGGTTCCCTGTGGTTTGGGCGACTGGGGCTGCCGGGGCGAGCTGTCACAATTCTCCAGAGCGAACACACTCCAGGAGGACTGTTGGGACTATGGGTTAGGGACTCTGGCGTTGCTGGAAGGGTGGGGCAAGTTCCAAGGAGGAGGGTCACCGTGGAGCAGAGCTCGAGCACTTCATAAATATTTAATAGCAATATTATTATTAATACGTAGTCATCATAATGGGCCCGGTATATGTTCCCTAGGCATTCTCACCTGGCAAGGCCAAGGGAACCCCCAGGGTGCCTTTTAATCTCCACTTTAGCGTTAGGACCCCCACTCAGCCTGATCAAAAGCCTAAAGCCTCAGAATCGCCCTGTTGCGGGGCAGGGGAAAATAAAAAGGGCCTCAGCTGTTCCTTCTGATGCCTTGTTGCAAAAGTAGAGGGCTGGTCTTCAATTGTTCACAAGTACCCACCTCCCCTCGGTAAAGCTAAGGCAGCCGGCACTGACTGGCAGAGGCCTTCGCAGAAGTAATTCCATATATTCCATTTCCACTGAAGTCCTGGTGCTCAGGATGATGCTTCTGTGACCAGATACTTTTTTGCTTATCTGCCTTAGGACCTCATTCATTCCTTCATTGCTTCAACAAAAATACCGGCTAACAGCCAAGCTCTGAACAATTCAGATGAAGCTCCTGTCATGGAATTTTTATTCTGGAGGTGGGCAGGCAGATGACAACATGAAAACAAACAAGATGATGCCATAGAGTGATTTTCGTTTGTGTGCTCACCTGTGTGTGTGTGAGAGAGAGAGAGAGAAGGAAGGTATTTTGTCTTTTTTGTTCCTGGAGGTACTAACTGTTCAGAGAAATTAGTCAAAATAAATTTGCTCCTCTGCTGCCTTATGAAGGCACCTGGGGTAAGCTTATATTCCCTTCCCTAAGTTTACTCACTATAAAATTGTAACAGTGGCTTGGGGCCTGAGGCTGAGTGTTGAGTGGTTAGGGCGCCAGCCACCTGCACAGGGGGTGGTGGGTTCAAACTTGGTGGGGGCCTGCTTAACAGCAACAACCAAAAAAAAAAAAATAGCCCGACGTTGTGGTGGGCACCTATAGTCCCAGCTATTAGGGAGCCTGAGGCAAGAGACTCACTTGAGCCCAATAGTTTGAGCTGTGAGTCCATGGCACGCTACTGAGGGCCACAAATAATAATAGTAATAAAATAAGTCAGGTTTGATTTCTGCAAATTACAACAGGTACAATATACAAGATGACAAATGTTATCAGTATATATTGAGTATTACAACTTTATTTTATTTAGTTAGTTAGTTAGTTAGTTTTTGAGAGTCTCACTTCCTTGCCCTCTGGTAGAGTGCTGCAGCGTCAGCCTAGTTCACAGTAACCTCAAACTCCTGGGTTCAGGTGATCCTCCTGCCTTGGCCTCCCCAGTAGCTAGGACTAGAGGTGCCTGCCACAAAGCCCAGCTAATTTTTTGTATTTTTATTACAAAAGGATATACTTCCTTTCCAGAAGAAAGGAAAAGGAGGGATAAGGTGGCACCAAAGGGGGAGGAGTGAACAATTTATTTCCCCCTTCCCAACCTACCACTTACAATCTTAGACATATACAGTCGGATAATAAAAACTTGGTTATTAAGGACAGATTTAGATTTAGTTTCTTCTCCTGTCCCCTATTCCCTGTGTCCCAACTTGATTCATGCCAAGAAGGGTAAAAGGAGGAGGCACATGACATGTGAAAAACTATATTAGATATGTTTCCACTAAACTGTAAGCTCCAAGAAGGCAGGGATCACGTCTGCTTATCATCACATCCCTATCAAGGGGTATACCACAGGGGTTAATGACTACGGGCTGAAGACATCAATTAAGATGGTAGGTACATCACAGCCACAACACTTAGCCTCCTCATATTGCCTCCTTCCTCCCTCAAAACACGTTTCTCGGCTCGGCACCTATAGCTCAACCGGCTAAGGCGCCAGCCACGTACACCTAAGGTGGCGGGTTCGAATCCCCAGCCCGGACCCGCCAAACAA